AAAATTCTGACAGCCAACACAAAGAGAGCCCGAGAGAGAGACCAACAAACAACTCAATACAACAACAAACAACACAACATACAAGTGGTGAGTTACAAGCGGCCGCAGAAATTTATTTTGCAGTGAAAAAAGACGACACCCTTTAATTTGTTTTTCGCTTTAATGAAATGGAATCACTTGCACTGACTTTAATTCATAATTTTCGAGATACCGATTGCCAAAATCACATAGTATATATTTTACAACGCGAGAATTTCCCTATGTTTTTCGATATTTTACAATTTTTTTCTGACTTTAATTCCTTTACACTACTCCGATAATCACATTAATCAAATTACACAGTAGACAGTAGGGATACTTAAGTCGACTTTCATTAATCGATTAGTCGACTTTTAATTTTGAAGAGTTAAAGTCGACTTGTGTCAGTGGTGAAAACTAAATGTGGACATTTGTAATCGATTTTATGAACATTGATTTTGGGTCGATTTTCATTTTCACAGGAGCCCAAATGTTTCAAATGCAAATGCCACAGCAGAATGAACGCATTGAGCCATGTTATTCGTTAAGTATTACAATCTTAAGGTCCTTGTCCGTGGAAATGTAGAAAACAAACATGACTGAAAATTGGCCACTTCGGATGATCAGTTTTTTTATTTTTTTGCAATATCATAAATTGAAAATCGGTTATCGTATCAAAAATTTGTACAATCTTGCGTTTCTGGAACAGACCAGTTATTATAATTTACAAAACGACAATTTTTAGTTCAATTAGTTGATTCTTGCAGGTCCTGGAACATAGCATTTGATTTCTATTCGAAAGAGACTTATGCTCTATTCCAGATCCTACCAGTATCTAAACACTAATTTAGAACAGAGCAGTAGTTTTTCCACGATTTCTTAGCGATTCCTTGAAGTTCAAAAAAACATCAACATTAAACATTCTTGGATTACTAGTCCACCATTTACAAGTTATTAATCCAAATCCCAAATTATAAAATTGACAAATGTCTGTTCCAGAACTGCAAGAATGTAAAACGTTTTTACTACTATACTCGATTTTATCTTCATGATATAGAAACAATTAAAAAAGCTGTAAGTTCGGCCGGACCGAACTTTGAATACCCTTTGAATACAATCTTGGCAATTTTCAAAAATATAAAATCCGTTAAAAAAAGAATGTAGCCGCATATTAAGGTCTATACGACGACGTGGAGCACAATTCAATATTCTAATGCGAAACTTGAAAAAATCTGTTTATAATGTAGCTAAAATCATTAAAATACCGAGTATAGGGAGGCACCATGGGTGTTATAAAACCTGGACCTGCACAGAAAATTTTCTGTCTTAGACTGTAGTATCATTTCGAAATTCAAATAATAAATTTGAAACTATTCCGTGAATAATTCGCTAAAATCATCAAAATACCGAATATCGGGAGGTACCGTTATATGCGGCTATACCAAGACGTGGACCTGCACAGACAATTTTCTGTATTAAGCTGTAGTATCCATTTCGAAATTCAAATAATATATTTGTAACAATTCTGTAAATAATGTCGCTAAAATCATCAAAATTATATGTGGGGCTACACCAAAACGTGGACCTACATGACCCTTTTTCAATACCAAAAGTCCTGCAGATATAATATACATTTGAGTAAAATTTTATCAATCTACTTCATTTCGTTCGGAAACTAGAGTTATTTCCACGGACGGACATCGCTAAATCGACATAGAATTTTATGCTGATCAAGAATATATATACTTTGTGGGGTCTTAATGTACCCTCCATACTATGGTGGAGGGCATGGTACAAAAAGAACATAGAACAGCTTCGTAAAACTAGAGAAATGCAGCCCTGAGGCAAAGGCCTGCTTCCTGTCAGAATTATTAAAAATTATATGCAACAAGTTGTTTTTATTTATTTGATATTATTTGTTTATTTGATATTATTGACAATGAGTCAAAAGCGCGAATGACGAATGAAATTGTAATCAGGTGGTAGTTCTACCTTACTTTTTTATTGTACCATGGGTGGAGGGTATAAACAAATTGTATTTAGGGGTTAGCTTTGTTCTACAGAATAATTATAATTACAGAAGGTAATTATATAATGGTGCATACAGATTATATTAAGAATTTAATTGCAAAATTAATATCCCTTTTTAAAATATTTTTATTTTCAGATAGATCAATTATTGTAAAATTGATTGAATTAGACGGCTAGGAAACCCAGTGGATCATTATTTGCATATTTATTCCTATAATAGCTTTTAAATTTACTAGTTTTGCTATTTTCTCCAAATCATAAAGGAAGATCCGTTATCGTAGTAAAAACTTTCACATTTTTGGTGTTCTGGAACAGACCAAATATTGGGCTGAAGCAGTTGGAAATTCCTTGTACGTCTATTGGAAACATTTATCGAAATTCTGCTCATCACTAAATTATGAGATGTATAATGTTCTGTAGATTTTTCAATGAAGGAAGTTTGCATATATTAAGTCTGGTTTCATAAAAGGGAAATGTTTCATGACTCCACCCATGACTACGCAAAGCGAACAATAGAATTGGTTAGAAATTAGAGTGCATTGCATAAAAGGTGAGCCAGAACAATAGAGCCATATTCAATAAACTTCGAACAGAGGAAATATATAGTTGTTTTGTGACTAGGGGGTCCGTAATCTCCTTGCTCCATCTTTTTATAAATCCTATTGTAGATTAGCTTTGTTCACCATTGCTGAGGATAGGATAGAATAGTTTTTGAAGTAGCATTGTTAAATGTTTCCTTTTGCATTCTTCCTGATAAATAAGACTTGAACCATTTCACCAGACAATTAATGAAATCCATCTTATCAAGTTTCAGAAGCAGCAGATCATGATTAACCTTGTCAAATGCTTTTCCGAAATCCATGTAGATAGTGTCTGACTGCATTCTATTTTTAAAACCATCGTTTACAATAGTTAGTTCTAAACATTTGTAATAGTTAAGCGATTTTTTTCGAAACCGTGCTGAAAGTTGGATAATACAGAGGAGACTTAAAAGGACAGCGTATCACTAAGAATTTTCTCAAAGAGATTTGGTATAGCACTTAGCTTAGCTATACCTCTGGAGTCTTATTATGTCAAATATACCTTCAAACATGCAAAAACTGATTTTGTTTATTTAATTTTCTTTTTAATTTTTTTTTTCAATTTTGCAATGGGAAACACCACAAAACATGTATGAAATATTGGATTTTTCCACAAAATTGAATCTAAGACTGAGGGACAATATTTGGTCTGTTCCAGAATTGCAAGAAAGTAAAAAATTCAATATTAGTAGATTCCTGTAGGTACTGGAGCAGACCAATTGTTTTATTCTAAAACTATACATTTTTTGCAAGTTAATGTGGAAAAATGTATTTCTGTTGCATAATTTCAAACATTTTTTCAAAACAGAATATGGGCACCAAAAATATATTTAGGCGGTAGTCATCTACATCTGACGCTATTTATAAGTCTGTTCCAGAACCTACTAGTTTTGCAAATTTCTCCAATATCTTAAAGGGAAAATCGGTTATCTTAGTAAAAACTTTTACATTCTTGCAATTCTGGAACAGACCATATATTGACAAAGACGGGTTTTATGTAGCCACTCGTACAACATTTTGATATATGTCCTGTTCCAGAACAGCAAGGATTTTAAAATTTTTACTACAACCGATTGTTCCTTTATGATATAAAGAAAATTGCACAACTAGTTGATACTTGCTGGTTCTGTAACAGAGTCTTCAGATTTTTTAATAATGTAGACGCTGTGCTTGCATATGACGTATCTTTGTAAACCCCTAAATTTTAATTTTTAACTTCTGTGTCCACTTTATATAAGAAGTCTGTCTCGTTTCTTATTGATATTATCAGAGTACTGGTCAACATCATCATATAGACTGCAGTTATAAATCTTCAATAGCGAAATGGGAAAGATTGCCACTGAAGTTTAATTTAAGCCGCCCGAAGGTTAACTGAATATGATATGCACAGGCTTCTTGGTTGGACTAAAATACCATGTCAAAGGTCTGTTACAAAACTGATTTTCCCTTTATGATATCGAAAAAAAAAATCGCAAAACAAGTAGATTCTTGTGGGTTCTAGAACAGAGCAAAATTCAGTAAACTTTACGTTAAAATATAAAGGAAAGATGGTCTGACACATGGCTCAATAACAAAGGTTACTTAACTTCAAAGAAACTAGAAAAATGCTACTCTATGCTGGAGATAGACTTTTAAATAGGCAATAGTTGTTTTTGTTTATTTTTCTTTTTTTTTAAACAATATTCTTATATTGTGGATAACCCGCGAAACAACAAGACTGAAATTTTGGTATTGCTCCACAAGATTAAATCTAAAATAGTAGGACAATGCAGTTTTATCCCAAAATTGTACAATGTGTTGCCCATTAACGTCAAAAGTATGCATTTATTTTGCAACCGAATTTGAAATAATTTCAAATTATTGTATTGTTCATTAAAAAAAATCACACATAAACACAAAATATGTATATGTTCTGACAGAATAAGGGCACCAAAAGAAACAAATTGTATTAAGGAGGTAGCTTCGTTCTAAACTAGAAAAATGCTACTCTGTGCTGGAGATAGACTTTTAAATATGCAACAGTAGGTTTTGTTTATTTTTCTTTTTTTTAACAAAATTCTTATATTGCGGAAAACACGCGAAACAACAAGAATGGAATTTTTGTGTTACTCCACAAGATTGAATCTAAATCTGAATGAATCTGGCATTTGCTTATCGGACAGTTCATATTTAAATGAAACTTGTATTAATGAAAAAAGATTTATTTGTCCGACAACATCAATTATCTATATAGATTTAAATTAAAAATGCCAACGGATTTCTATATGCAAGTATCGGTTACACATTACGCAAAGTTATCGTTCGTATCGATAACAGCTCTGTTTTGCTATAAACATTCGATAGGTCGTTTGTCGATTCATACAACCCTAATGTTGGAGTTGGAGCATATATAAACAAAAAATCAAAGTTTGAAGGAAGAAAAAAAACGAAGAAAAATTTGTATTTCTCTTGGGCAGAAACAAAACTGCTACAAAATTAAGCTTTCAACGGCAACAAAACAATATAAACGGAAAAAATCAAAAATGAAATTGGAGCCGAACGTAAATGGGAGTCCGAGTCCTTTGGTAACACCATTGAAAATTTCCGCAACTCTTGGGGGAACGAAGGTGGAGCCCGCTATACCACAAGCTCCACCGCCGCCAGAGACGCCGAAATCTGAAAACGAAGAGGATTTCGATCAATTTCCGGAAGCTGATGAGGATTTAGATGATGGCAACGGTAGTTGTGTAAAAAATGAAAATGGTAGTGAGTTTAGTTCGGAATTGAAAACCTTTGCAAAAGTGGATGAGTCTGTCGACAATGAAACGGGTGAAACGGAAGAGTCGTCCACGGGCAAAAAGAAATCGGTGCGAAAAAAACGTTCCCTCAACTGGGAGGAAGCTGAGCGTGTAAGTTGACCATTTCAGCTTTTTCACTTGTAATGTCTTCCACTATACTTGACAGGATACCAAAGATATTTTATGTATGCAGGCGTTTTTAAGTAAAATGTCTATAAGAAATACTGCGAATGTTTGTGAGAATGTGTTATCGGTGTGAATGTTAAGTTGTAGTTAAATCGTTTTGCCACCATTCAATATGGACAAGGGATACCTACCTCATTTTTGGTCAGTGTTTGTTCTTATTGGATTTTTTGTAAGAATGTGATTTTTTTGGTAGTGAAAAGAAATTTGTTTGTTCAATATTAAATTGGGTATTTATTCAGATTTCCGTGTTCAACTGTACAAACAATAACAAGCTGTATATTATCGTTATGCGAGTAGGCCAGTAGATGGCGCTTAAACATGTGCGTTAATTCTTGGCATATTTTTAAAGATGAAAAGAAACCTGCGAAAACTTCCATATATTCAGGCCATTTCAACAATTTAGTTACACCCTCTACCATGAGATATAGATTGTAATTAATCTGCCATTTTTAAAGCCTCTTGTTCAGTTGAAAATACTAAATTTAAGAGGCAAACTATAGGCTAAAATTTGAAAGATGTATGAATGAAATTTGGCATAATTGTTTGTAGCACTCCCAAGTTGTTTGGTGTTCAAATATCGGTCCATATTTAGGTATAATTCTAATATAACGGTACATTCAGATTTTCGTTATTTGGATAAATGACAGCTGTAGCAGACTAGAAATTTTATTAAGGATCCAATTTCTACCATTCAACCATTTTATTCAAATCTTGGTTATTTGAATACAAGTTCCACGTCTTTTTTTCTGAGTTATGAACATTTATATTAAGCCTTATAATATAATAAAATTCTGTGGAAATAGTTGACCTATTCTTGTTTACTTTAAAAGAGGTCATAACCGAAGACAATTGAAGTTTCAACACTTTCTTCGTAAAAAATGCATAGTCTTAGAAAAAAAAAATTAAAATCGATTATGTTTCTATGTTTAGTAAATTTAATTCGTATTCATATGCCCATTATCTTTGCTCTTTTAAATCGTGCAGTTTCTAAATCATAAAGTTTCTAATGTACAGGGTGAGATAAAAAAACTGCAACAAAGTCAAACGCCATAATTTTTACATTTCTTTTAATTTTATTGAATGAAAGCAAAACATGTCGGAAATAGCATCAAATTTTGGAATAAGTTTAGATTTGTTCGTTTGCTTTCCAAAATTCTCCAGACGCAATAGTCCAACGGATTGGCAACCGGGGATTTTTTCGGCCATTGTCCGCTGGAAATGAAGCGAGAATGTTTGCTTGCCCAATACTTTAATACACCCTCCAGAATTTTTTATTCTGATACCAAGGTCGATTAATACGAGCGGAGAGTGACCACTTTCGACCAAGCGAAACAACTCTTTAGCTCTTTTGAGTCTATTTTCTTTCTGTTGCGGTGTAAGTTCTTGAACTTTCAATTTCAATGGCTTTACAACGAGCTCATTTTCCAATAATTGCCGAATGGAATATTGCGATATGTCCAGCTCACGAGCCATTTTTCGGCCACTGTGACGCGGGTTTCGATCAAGTGGCTTCTTTACTTTTTGAACCATTTCTGCTGATGTTGCTGTTCCCTACCGTCCATTTTATCGTTACCGTTATTCACATTTAAATGCTGGAGTGCTCTAACGATAGTCACTTGTGGTTTTCCAGCCAAATATAAAAAAATCACACTGTCACGCTTGAATTCCATCACGAATAAATTTTTTTTTCTGGAAAATTGTCACCAAAATGCTTTTGTACGCTTGTAAAAAAATACAATGAGCTGTCACTGGAATAATTTTAACAGCTGTCGGACAAGTGGCTTAGAAATGACAGCAGTCTGAAGTTGGTTGCAATTTTTTCATCTCACCCTGTATATCCAACGTTTTTCACTCACATTTCATGGTATCTTTTTGCTGACATGGCATTCTGAGAATACTCTACAAAAGCTCACATTGTGTTACGTTCAGAGTTGCTTGAGTCTGAGAATGGATTTAGATATTAGTTTTCAAGCAGCAACTCGCTCATCGCATCATTCTTTTTGAATACAGAAATATTTGTGTGAAGTGAAACGGATTGTGGAATTACAGGGACGAAACAAACGATAGTATGTATATATGACAAGCTTATGGAATATTTTTCTATAACAATTCAAAAGCAATCCCGATATACCTATATCATATTATGAAATAATAACATCAACTGGAGACATTTATTCATTTAAAAATTTCCATTCGAAACTTTCAGTTTCTGACTCCTGATGTAAATCTTTTCTTTCTACAAATTGAATTGATCTAACACTGACTGCGTAAAAAGTTTTTGTGCTAAGATTTTTATATATATAGTTCAGTTATATATATGTTCAGTTGTGAATTTATTTATTTAATCTATAATTTAACTTCCTTCGACTTAATACGTAAATTTCATTGAAAGAGATCGAATAATTTTTATATGTTGTTCTCCTTTTCAGGGCCTCTTAGTGGAAATCATTAAACCAAAGGTGGAATTTGTGGAAAATAAATCAGTCGATGCCAAATCAATTAAATCGAAGCGTTTGGCGTGGTTACACGTTACCAAGCAGTAAGTTACGCACATTTTATTTCGTTGCTCTTTAAAAATTAACATCTTCATTTCTCTTACCCCAAAAACAAGCTTCAATGCATTAAATTTCCGTCATCGTTCGATGGAACAAATACAGGTGCAGTGGCGCAGCATGAAGAATTCAGCTAAAAAAGAATATCAACAGAAAAATCCAAAATCTACAAACATGCTGGAAGGTTTACAAATGCTTGAGTTTATGGAGGAAATGTTAAAGGAGCCAGCCATTGGTGGCACACGTAGTCAGACCCGTAACTCAGCAATACAAATTAAAAAAGAACTGCTCGACGATTTGGACGAAGAAGATGATACACCCTTGGCCGCTTTACCTGCAACCCTTTTCAATAATACCAGTAACAGTGAAGATACCCAACCTACATCGACATTAGCTCTATCGCCATCCACCTCGGCCGAATCTCAGAATTTAGAATTTCAACAAATTAGCGAAACCATAAATGAAGTGGTGCCCGTGAAGAAAAGAAAAGTGTTACCAAAATTAAAGGAGAAACCAGCTAAAGAAAAGGACATAAAATCGCCGGGTGACAAACCCGTTATAGGTTTAAAAATAAAACGACAAAAATGTGAATCTGCTGCATCGATGGGTGATCTGGAAAACTCTACAGCTGGTGTCACAATGACGATACCCTTAACATCGAATCTCAATGCAAATTATGTCGCTCCCATGGAAAACAAACCAGCAACACATACCACTTCCAACCTGTCAACACCGCCGCCATCACCGCCGGCATCTAGAGATGAGAAATTCAAAAAACAACTGTTTGATTTAATGAAACGTGCACGTTTAGCTGAAATGGATTTTGCTCGCAAGGAACACGAACAGAAATTGCGCCATGAACAACAAGAACAGGATATTAAATTACGTTATATGCGTGAATTGCACGAACAACGAATTCGTTTAGCCCTATTGGAACATGAGGCTCGCATGCGTGTCTACTCTCAAGTCAGTAATAAGTCATCGACAAATGAAATGGCAGCAACACTTCCGGCACTGACAATGGATACACAATAGACAATATCATAGGAAACTTTAAACGGTATTTATGTATAGACGCAATTATTGATAATATTCTATATAGAGAGTATGTAGAACTAACCGTTCATCTCAAATCAGTTTGAAATACTATGCCAGATGTAAAATTGGTTGAGGCGAAACCATCTTCTTCACATGTTCAGTCGTTTTTAATAGTCAGCGACTTTTAAAATATTGCTGTGCTGTAATTTGGTTTATTCTTGGAGAAGAATTTGAATTACCAGTAATGTAGTTGTCAAATGGCATCTAAACTGATGACAGTTCATCCAAACCTAACTAATGATTTGATTTTCTTCAGGTCAAGGGCAATTTTCCTGCAGTTGACAATATGTTCTCATGCGAGAATTTTGGGATTTTAATGACGAAATTGTTCCATATTTCATTTATCTTCATGGACACAAATTAACCGTGAAAAATACTATCTTGAAAGTATTTCTTCTACTACCATCTTAGGGTTACATATGCGTCAATGTTTTATTGTTTGCAAACATTTTGTGAATGTGTCCCACTACCAAAACTCCTTTAATGTTCGGTTTTGTTTATGGTTCCCATTTTCCAAAAAAAAAAAATTGCTTGAAGCTGTGTTTATTTTGGGGCAAGTTTTGAAGTTATAGAAACGTATTCTTTATAATTTCTTTATCTCTTTTCGTTCGTATGCGAGGTAAAATGACTGTTAGTTTGTGTGTATAGTATTACGATTTATTACATTTTGCAATTTTCGATTAGTCTTACCTGCATAGTGGCCTATCTAACAATACATGAGCAATAGTTATTAAAGGGTTCCTCTGAATAAATGTTGAAACTTGAGTTCCTGTTTTAATTTATTACAAACCAATATGCATTTTAATACTAAACCAGATTCTCATTTTTTGTTCGAATCTGTTAAACTGATGGTTTATGTTTAGCTTTTATTATTCTTGTTTAGTCTGAAGACTATTTTCTCTTATTGTCATACTTTTCTCTATTGATCTTTGTAATGAAGCCCTGCATGGGTCCCCTAACTTTGCAGGTAAATTAATTTTATTTGCATAAATTTCATAAGTATTTTTGCTATGCTTATGTGACAAAATCTATTGGGTTGAGTTTTAATTTTGAATATTTTGCAAGTTTTACTTTTTTATATTCTACTTTGTTGTTGTAACAGTAATATGTTCCGTGTTGCTTTCTGTTGGTCAGATTCTAATTCCAAACTCAAAAGTGCAGCTACTTTCAAAGACTGTAGACAAGATTTTCCAAAGTGCAGCGTAGTATGCGGGCCTGTGTCGTACGCTAGGCAGACTTTTTGCACATCTTCATCTATTCGCGCCCGAAAGTACCCTGGTTTGTCTAGGTAGCCGAGGTTCTTCAGCTGGAATGGATGGGATATGGACTCTGAAGACGGAATTCATACTGTACATGGAATCTGTATCAGTACGAATGCCAAGATAGTCTTCTTGATTAGAGACTCTCATACAGGTTCTTCCTGACACGCCATCCCGAACATGCTCTATAACAAAATCATATGATTATTGTGACGTAAGAAGAGAACGTCGTCTCCTGCAGTTCTTGGGCGGCATTCTAGCTTGTCTGAATAATCCTCACGCACACTGTAGTCGCATTGCTAAGCACAGGTCGACCTAGTAAGACTTTCTTTTAGAAGGGCAACAAGGTCTTCTTATCTGCACCACAAGTGCTGCACCACCTTAGGGATATTGTTCCTACTTTTGAATTTATCTCAAGATGTTGGTTTGCCTGGTTTGGACGGTATTCATTCTATAACTGCTGATGGCATCTGCTACTGCATCGGTATGAATGCCACTCAGACCTGCCTGATAGGCTCCCGATCTAGAGGTTCTCTCCTATAGCTTTGGACCTTCCTCTCTAGATCGAGTATGTCCTTTCTGACACGCCTGGAGTAGTATCCACCATATGGTGGTTACGATGACCCTCACGGTAACACCCAAGCAGGTACTGCAACGAAAGCTTATGATTATGCTGACGTAAAGGAAGGATTTTCGCCTCCTCATGTAGATGGTCCACTGGTGTCATGAGAAGGCACCCTGTCACAGTTCTCAGGGCAGCGTTCGGGCAGATCTGGATGTGCTTCCACTGCGTAGCACTAGTATTCGTGGACCACACTGGAGCCGCCTGTAAGGGGCCTGTATGATTCACCTTTCTGGGTTTGATTCACATTTCCTGGCTTCAGTAGTGGGACCACCCGGCCCCTTTTTCCGGCTCAGGAACGATGTGGGTGTCGTCCATGCTCACAAACTAACCTACTGCGAAGCTCATCACACTCATTTGATGGTCCCGCTGCCTCTGCTGGGAGGAAGAAGATATTTTTGAATAATAGTTTAGTAAGTCCATTGACGTCGCTTAAGTATTAGATTTAAGTGTTTCCTGACAAATATACATGTTCTCAACATATCTTAACGAAAACGTATAATTCTTACATGTTAGACTTCGGAAACAATTTGTTACATGAATTAGGTTCTTGGATCGGCCTGATATGTGTACTTTTCTCGAAGCTGAGTTCAGTATTTTTTACTACAAATTACCTTTAACAGCGGCAATAGACTTTGATATAGCCTTTTATATCTGCTAATTTCATTATAACATATCGAAAAGGCCATAGGTTGGTTGACCCGGACGCTATTTCACATTCTGGTGTAGTATTAATATGCATGAAAACCAATAAACTCATTATTCAATTATGTACTATAAACTAGGTTCAGTTGCATTTATAAAAAAGAAAATTACATTTTCAAAGACAAATGAAAAGAAATACTCATTTATACAAGGTTGTATTATTTGTTATATAAATAATATTTTTTTATTTTATATAAGTTTATTTTTAACTTACAGAAATGAATGTAATCTTAAGGAACAATTATTTTACATTTTAAACACACAAAAAATACATGACATTTTATTATGAAACTGCAACAACGTATTGAGATTCCTTAATGGTACATTTTGTATACCTATCAGCTGTTTTTTTTTAATATTTGTATGCTTCTTATTAGAAGTTTGTACTACTATTTGTTTTACAAAATAACACTTTTAAGATATTTTGATATTTTCCGTCTTTTTTATGTAAACTATAAATCAGTATTATACGATAAAAAGTTTCAATGCATATATAGCGAGCAGATCAAGTATTATCCATACTCCCCTTGGAGTATGCCAATCTTTTTAAACATTACGAATTAAGGAACATAGTTTAAGTTTGAGCTATAAGTTCGTATTATCTACTTTCCATCGATTGTAAAGCAGTAAATAAATGAAGAAATGTACTTAAGACGAATTAAAAATAAAAAATAAAACATTATTATCATTATTATGATTATTAATAATAGTAAAGTTGAGTTTTTATTTGAATGATGCAGCTGTATGGTAAGATTTCTTAATGAGAGTTGTCGTAGTCTAGTATTTTTAATTGTTTAGTCTTCCCGATTTATGATTTCCATTTTATTAAATTTTACGGGGAGAATTTGGCAAATTATGAAAGTAGAGTTAACAAGTAAAAAAGCAGTAAGTTCGTCAGGGCCGAACTTTAAATACCCTCCACCATTTGGAACAAATTAGGACATTTTCAAAAAAAAAAAAAAAAAATCCATTAAAAATTTTGTTAAAATCTTTAAAATACCTAATATCGGAAGGTGCCGATATATGGGGGATATACGATTTTGTGGACCTATATAGACAAATCTATGTCTAGGGGTAAAGTACTCACAAGGAACTCCTTGTGTGAATTTTCAGATAATTCCATTGGAAAATGTGTCTAAAATTGTCAAAATACTGAATAATTGTCAATAATTCCCTTTCAGAGGCTAAAGTGCTCACAAAGAATTCCTTGTGTAGAATTTCAGACTATTCCATTGGAAAATGTGGCTTTGATGAAGTATATATATTCTTGATCAGCGTAAAATTCTAAGACGATTTAGCCCTGTCCGTCCGTCTGTTGTAATCACGCTACAGTCAAAACGAATAAAGATAGGAAGCTAAAATTTTGCACAGATCTGTTTTTGTCTGCAAGTAAAGTTCGAAGATGGACTATATCGGTCCAAGATGTCGTATAGCTCCCATATAACGGTACCCCTCGATATTCGGTATTTTGATGATTTTAGCCACATATTTCAACGGAGTTGTCTGAAATTCTACACAAGGAGTTCCTTGTGAGCACTTTACCACATGAATGAGAATTGTCTCTATAGGCCCATGATATCGTATAGCCCCCAATATAACGGTACCCCCCGATATTCGGTATTTTGGTGATTTTACCCATATTTGTCAACAGAATTGTCTGATAATCCACACAAGGAGTTCCTTGTGAGTACTTTATCCCTTGAAAGAGAATTATCTATGTAGGTCCACGATATCGTATAGCCCCCATATAACTGTACCCCCCTGATATTGTCTGAAATTCCACACAAGGGTTTCTTTATGAGCATGGACCTACATGGCCCATTTTCAATACTAAAAAGCCTGCAGATTCATAAAATTTTGCTCAAATATTATATTTGAGTAAAATTTTATCAATCCGCTTCATTTCGTTCGGAAGCTAGAGTGATTTCCACAGAGGGACAGACGGATCTGATCAAGATATATATACTGTGTGGGGCCTTAAATATATATTTGGAGGTGTTACAAATGGATTGACAAACTTAATATACCCTCCATACCATGAGTGTATAAAAACAGGCTGTTGTTTAAATCTTGTGGAGAGCGCCTTGAAGTATGCTATAAAAATGTTTAAAATATATGTGGAGGAATCACTTTACGTATTATCATAGACAAATTAAAGTATAGACTAAAAAGTTGTCTCATCTGTTATCTTCGAAAAAAGTGCTTCAATAGATGTCGTTCATGCTGTAAGAGAGGTTCAGTAGACTCACTCAATTCTCTCACTATACAAAATATTGAATATTTTTATGATAGTTTAATATTTATCAATTAAAAACGAAACAGTGACTTTGTTTACATTGACATTACCCAACTATGTCGTGAAATATAAAAATATAGAACTTAAATAGCAGAAAAATGAATAAATTGTTTTCGAAGTCGAGTGACTTCACTAGCCCTGAGCATAGACAAATGAAAATATAGACAACGAAATGCTCTCACCGTTTATCTTCGAAAAAAATCGGATCAGCAGATGTCGTCCATATCGTTTCAGGGCTTTGAGTGGGAATTTTGAAGTCACTCAATTGTAAAATGTTAAAAATAACAAAAACTGTAGGATATTTGTCAGTTGATAATTGTTTCATAATAACAGAAATGTGAAAAGTACGTGATGACATCGAAAAATTCAGGAATAATCAAGTAAAATTCTTGAAAACCGATAAAATGTGTTTTCGAAGTCGAGTGGCTTGAACGCGTAAATAAGCATGTTGACTATGCAAAACAGGATGAGCGCCATCTGGATAAAAAGATAAAACTAAATTTTCGTTGTCTATATTTTCATTTGTCTATGCCCTGAGTGACTTAACTGTCCCAAGATCAACCATAGTGACATCTGGCGGAAGGGGTAAATTTTAAAACTTTTTAGTCTATACCTTAATTTGTCTATGGTATTATACTATGAACATATTACAGTGAGCAATGAGTGTGCCATGTCTCTAGCTTTAATTTATAGCCGATAAAAATTCAGTTTGAAACAACTTAACTTTCCTGTCAATATCCTGCGTATGATAACGCCGGGTGAAGACCGAAAATTATAAACCGAACATCACTTCTGATTTTTTGTGCGCAGAATCAGTGAGAAATAGGGTAACTAACTATTTATGATTTCAATTCTAGCTATTGTGTGTTTAAAAATGCTTATTATTGCAAAAAATTATTGGCATAACTGAAGTCGATTAAATTTGCTTGAAATATATATTTGCCTCTACTATGTTATATTTAATTGAGATATATCTGCATTTTTCATTACTTTCGTTGCTTCTTAAAGTTGGGAATTTTTGCGCATTTGGAAACCCTGCTATAGTCATTTTTCTCACACCAAATCCTTTTCTCTCCCTCCATTTACTATTGAATGAATTGTAAACAGAACATGAATGAATTTCCACATTGACACACAGACTTGCTTTCATTCGGTACTCGGATACGGAAGTGTGTAAACGTTTAAAGCGGATACCTGTCAGACGAAAACTACAGGTCCTTTAAAGAAAGTTGTTTGTTTTTGCTGCGGTAACAATTAAAAAAATGGCGCGAAACTACCTAGAACAAATATGAAGATACATATATTTTAAATTTAGTTAAAATATTGTATACAAATATTAATAACAACATTTAAAGCATTATTG